TTTTGGAAATATTGTGATACTTCAACAATTTTTTAAGGGTTGGTTTAAAAATTAGGTGTAATAATAAGAGGGGAAGTTTGCAGACAACCCTTTTTAAAATTTCAGTGTGTATATATGTTTGTGTGTATATTGAGTATAATAGCACATCTGTTTTCACCAGAGAGTAGTAATACTGGATTTCTATACTCAGGAGCAGTGCTGGCATTGTTTAAGAAATTGTTAGTGCTCAAAAGCTAATAAAAAATATGTATATAGACAGAAACATGGCCTGCTACTTTTAGAGTTCTATTTAAACTTTTTATTAATGTTAAATTCAGAAAAATATATTTTAATTCCATGCTTTTCTAATCAGACAAGGCGGGGGAATGGTTGAAGTTTTTTAATTGCCTGTTGCGGCTCCAAATTTAAACAACAAGCTAAACGCATAGAGCTGAAAACAGCAGGTGAAATTCTTCCCCCTCTGTCACTGGACTTTGTGCATGAGGAGTGAATTCAGGTACAGGAAGTTCTCCCGCTTCCGTGTGAGCAGTTCCAGGTTTCCCATTAACCGCTTGGGATTCCACACAGAGCTTTACTCTGTTGTTTTATGAAGACGGCTGTGTGCCACGATACGGCTCTAACAGCCGAGACCCGGGAGGGAGGCAGGCGCTGCGGCTGGGCTGAGCTCCGGAAAGGCAGCTCCCCGATGCTGAAAGACCTCTGGAAAGCTCAGGTCCTGTCTCTGAGACTTAAGTACTACTCAGCAGTAGTACTTAAATGGTACATAGGTCTTGAACCAGCAACATAGAGTGAAAGCGCATTATGAACATGAAATTAAAACTCCCATCATAAGCTTTTTAAAGAAACAAATTCCTCTGTTTCTCAAAGTCATGTTTTTTATAGTTCAGAATTTTTTATTTGTCCTTTGAAATCCCTCGTTCACCTTTCCTTGCAAAGTTCTCCCACTGCTGGGCTGTAGCCTCCTTTGCTAATCATCAGGGAGCGAAGTGGGAGCTGAGGTTAGTAAAAATGTAAAATGTTAGTAAAAATTCTCATGAGCACCCAGGTCAGTGCTTGCCAGGCACTGTTAAAAACACTGCTCTGAAATAGAATAACAGCAGTCTCAAAATCTCTCTGCAAATATTGCCATCTTGGGTGAGCAAGTGCTGTAGGAAAAAAAATCCCTTAAAATCCACAGCCACATACTCTATAGGCAACTAAGTGATTTGGTTTTGCCTGCATTTCTCTAGTCGTGTTCTCATCTCTCAGTCCTTTTCATAGTTTCCTATCAGTTGCAAGGAAAGCTCAAACTTGGAAGCAATAATAGAGTTATTGGTTCTCATACCAACAAATATCTATTTGCTTAATGGAAGCTTGAATCAATAGCCTGAAGGTTCCTTTAATTGCGGTATAAATTATATATCCTTTTATAATGTCAAATAATGCCTAGGGAGACAAAATTTACTGTGCAGCAATTCTCTGCAGTTCTCAAGTGCAATATATTAATTTAAGCCAAGCAAGCTATTGCAAATGCATACTGTAGAAGGAAGTGACACAGTCACTAACAGACCTGGCAGTGAGATGCTCCATGATAAAGCTAACTCTTATCAAATAGAGTCAGCAAATATAAGTCAGAAACTGCCAACCTCTGTGACAGAGTAGATAGCACAACTTCCACACACATCTCAGCCGAATTTTCAAATGCAACGAGTGTGAGGGAGGTGATAGATTTTAAAACTTGGAGGAGAAACTGCATAATCCAAAATGAAAGAGAGGAAGGGAGGGATGTACAAAACCTTCATGCTAAGCAACAGCATGCTACTGAGTAAAAAATGATTAATGAATGATAAGCTAAAATGGGTGGAAAAATAACCTCACAGCCTCTTAAGTGCTGGTCTAAGGGACGTTTGGTTATTATATTTGCTTCTAACAATAGCTCGTGGTCTGTTACCAATCTTGGCAATTGCTTTTCATCAGACTGTATATATAAACTCAAAAGTAGTACTAACACAATTTAAATACTAAAGGAAAAAAGATGGGTATTGGGAGCCTCAGCTATCGCTCCAGCTCTGCAAAGTGTCATTTGCCTCCTTAAGCACGTGGCTGCTCCTTAGCACAAGATAAAACCGATCAGCCTTGAAGATCCAGCACAGCCTGAAGAAGATGGGAGCTTTATTCTTTTCTGCATCGTAAAGTAAATTAACCAGACCCCAACAGGAAAGGCGTTTGTACAGCCCCAGTGGGTTTTGGGGGCTGCACTCTTGCATCTGGCACCTCAGCGCTGTGGGGTTGCAATAGGCACTGGGGCTCCGCTGGGACGCGGCTCCGAGCACCACCAAGCGCAGGGCGCGGA